CAAAATTTTAAAAAAAAAAAAAAAAAAAAAAAAAAAAAAAAAAGAATATTCTGAGTCCTCACCTCAAACTTCATCGAGTGAAGGCCAGACTGAGTCATGAGCTTGACTATGGTAAGGTCGGCCCGACCTAGCTCAAACACTATTTTAAGCGTCTAGGCCGAACTTATATCTATACTTTTTAAGATCAGGTTATTAGATTGGTTCAATGGCCGAGCATTTCAAAGTCCAATATGATATTTTCTTAAACAAAATTCTCGTACATAGATTCATATTAAAATTACCCCAACATTAAAATTACCCCAACATATTCATGCATCGTCTCTGACATTACTACGTTACCCATTTGTCTTAAAAGTGCTTTAAGAGCAAAACTATCCCTATACTACTCCCACAAATCATCACGGTTCATTTTACCATCTTTTGTCTTCATTCACATGATTTCTAAGCACGTTTCCACGTTTAGCTTTAGAGTCTCTATAGATATCTGAAGATGTTAAAAAATCTTAAAATGTCAAAGTATCTACGTTCCTACCAGACAAATAGTCTAATTCTCCATATCCATCCCATGAAAATCTCGGATTCTCACGAAACAAGCCATACACTTAGGTATCATTTTAGATATTTAGAGTCAAACCGGAGATATGAAGTCAAATAAGAAAAGAGTAGGTATGAAGTCAAATAAGGAGGATTTAATTTCCAAGATAGTTCCACTTTCAAATTACAGTGGGTCCTTGTGTCCAAATTTTAAATTTTATACGAGACACTTTAGAACTTACTCGTGGGTCCCTAATTTCGTGTATCGAGAAATTTATTCAATGTTCGATCACGTGTTTCAATTTGTGCAATTTTTTTTTTCTTGAAGTTAATAAATGGATGTAACAAAGTTAAATATTACGATAACCATGATAAATTACGACCCTAATTCGAATCAAAATTTGGAACGAAATTAAAAGTTTTAGTTAAAAAAAAAAACTAATTTACCAATTTTTTTTTAAAAAAGTATTTTTTTAAAAAACAAAATAAAGAAATATTAATTTCTAAACACATCTTACAAGCAAACCATCTTTTTCCTTACAAATCTTTTAGTGCACTTTTTCAAAATATTTATTCAATCTTCTCTCCCTCTTTTATCAGTTTATATCCCAACATTATCACATTGGAAAATGAGCTTCATACCCAAAATGTTACTTCCTTTTTTGTTTATTTTGCTCAAATTAATTTTGTTCGAGTTTAATTGGGGTCGTATATGAGTTAGGTCGAAGAAATCAGTTGGGTAAAGATGAGATTTTGGGTTGGTTAGAACGGTGACTCGAACGATCCAAATAGGGTTCATAATCTATCCCGTGGATAAATATGAGATCCCACGTTGGCAAGAGGGGAACGAAGCATTGTTTATAAAAGTGTAGAAAACTCTCTCTAACAAATGTGTTTTAAAATTGTGAGGCTGACAACGATACATAACAGACCAAAGCATCAATACCTGCGAACAGTGAGCTTGAGTGTTACTAATGGTATTAGAGGCAGACACCAAATAGTGTACCAGTGAGGATACTGGGCCTCCGAAGAGAAGGGTGGATTGTGAGATCCCACGCTCCCACGCGTAGGAGCGGAGAACGAAACATTCTTTTATAAGGGTGAAAACCTTTATTCATGCTCGTTTTAAAATTGAGATTTATGGCCTTTACACAACCGGTCAAAACATACCATATCTATTGGCCATCGAATTGGTTTGTTAGGATTCCAAAAAAGTCTAACAACCCAGATTGAGTGTCTGAATTGTTCGGGCAAACCACAAAAATCATATGAACAATGACATTAAACAAACATGAAAACAGAGTTGGAGAATCAAAAAGGATTGAAATTCTAATAATTCCTTCAAACAACAAAACTAAAATATCTACAAATTCAAACCCACAATTAAAAAAACACGATCTTGATTCAAATCTGAAAGCGAGCTACATAATAATAAAAAACAGAGGAAACAAAATTACAGAGCTCTCAGGATTCTTCAATGGCGTCAAGCGGAGGATTGAACTCCAAGATCTTCTTGTTCTTACAAATCTTCATGACCCCAAACCAGACAATCCCGGCTGCCGTCATTATAGCACTCACCACGAGCACCATTTTGTGCGTAAAAACCATCAGAACCACCAAAAACGCCGACGGAATCAAACACATAACAATCAACGCCGGCAACCTCAACGGCACCTGGAACGGCCTTTTGATGCCCGGATGCTTCCATCTCAACCAAATGAACGCCGAAAATTCCAGCAACATTCCCAAGCTGTATATGAAATTCGCCGACGCAACAATGTCGGTGAAGTTCATGTACGACACCGCCAGCGAAATCGCGGTGCAGATCACAATGCCAATCCATGGAGTGTTGAACCATTTGGCTCTGCTCGCGAAGAATTTGGGTAAAATCCCGATTTCTGCCATACCCAGAATCTGATACGCACTGCTACTCAATTGGGCTTCGAATAGTCCAATCCCCGACAAGCACGACCCGATTTCCAGGAGGATTTTGAGCCATTTTCCGGCGATGATTCCGGCGGCTTGTGCGTGAAATCCAGACCCCCAAGCGGATTGTTCTACATCGACGGCGCCGATGACTGCCAGAAGTGGGATTAGATAAGAAACACAAGTGAAAATCACGGATACAAACAGAGCCATTGGGAATGTTTTTTGTGGGTTTTCAACTTCTCCGGCGAGAGTGGAGACATTATCCCAGAAATTGAGGTTCCAAAACAGAGTATTGAGGTAGAGATTCCAGTCTTTTTTGACGCCTTTGTCGCCGAAACTGAGCCACCGGTGGGGGTGAATTTTGGGGATAGCGATGAACGTCATTAAAATAAAGGGTAAGAGAGACAAGAAGGCTAAAACGACGGCGACGTATCCGACGATGGTGAGGCCAACGTAGTTAAGGAGGGCGAGGAGAAGGGTGGAGCTGAAGACGGCGATGCGGCGGGGCCAGCCAGATTCGAGAGGCGGAGCGATTTTCTTGATGTAATCGATGCAGAGAACAGGGAAGGCAGCGATATTGATGACGCCGCTGAGGAGTTTCCAGGTACCCATTAAAGATCCCCAGAAGGGTCCGAAGGCTCTGTCAGCCCAGATAACGAAACCGCCGTCTCCGGGGAAGGCGGTGGAAAGCTCCGCCGTGATTAGGGCCTCTGGGACACTCCATATGAAAGGGAAAACGATGAAGCCAACGATGGCGAGGAGAGGGCCGGCAGCTTGGACAGCCGGCTCTTCGCCATAGGGGCCGCCGGCGACCTCGAAGTAGATGAGGAAGATGAGGGGGATTAGAGTGAGCTTCTTTCTGGCGGCGGCGGAGGAGGTGGCGGTTGCGGCGGTGGTGGGGAGGGTTTGAGAAGGGGAAGAAGAATCAGCAAGGGGCTGGGAGTTGGTGGACTTGTTCGGGGATTGTTTTTTGTCCGCCATGACTGATTGGACGAAGCTAACAAACAGGGAAGACGAAACAGAGCAAGCAACTACAAATAGAGTTTTTTTTTTTTTTTAATGAAAATAAAACAAAAGAAATATTGTTATTAAACTAATCAAAATACTCTTAAATTTGTTTAAAAAATAATCTACCATACTATTTTTTTTATAGAAATTATTATTATTTTCTTTTAAAAATATAATTAAAAGTAATTCTTTTTTTAATATTCTTTTAACTTTTTTTTAAAAAAATTAAAAAATATGTTCTTATGAAATTTGAAAATGACATTAATATATTCTACTTTTTATCTCTAAATTTTTAATTTTATTTTTAAAAAATTGATGAGTATTTTTAAAACAAGAATATTTTTAAATATTTTTAAAGTTTAAAATATTAATTAAACTTTTAAATATTAGAGAATATTTTTGAAACAGTTTTAAAAAATTAGAAAATTATTGTTGAAACTATTTTAACAAATAAATATTTTACATTTTTGTTAATTAACTATTT